AAGCACGTTTGGAAGTCAAACTGGAGCATTTTTCAAAGTTGAGATGTTCAAAAAGTGCACGCGGTTGTGGCGGGAAGCACATTTCAAAATGAAAATTGTAAAAGCACCACGCGTTTGGACCACTTTTGGACGTTCAAGTGTCGTTTTATGTGGCAGGCGCAATGGATTCTGAACCATTGCAAAATGTGAGTCAAACTTGCGGGTCGTGCAGCAGTTTTGAAAGCGATGATTTTGCGTGACAGGTGCAGCACTTCCTATGACCCAGCCTCACTTTTCGTGGCAAGTGCAATACTTTAGACAGATGGGGAGGAAAAATCGCAAAACGCGTCGGTACGAGGCCGTCAGCTCTGCACTCAACTTTTCATGTATGAAGGAGGTCCCGCAGAGTTGCTTCGTTTTTGATGTTGTGAATTTCCAAAACTAACTGAGGAAGTCTCGCAGACTTGCTTTGTTTTGGGGCTCAGAACTTCTTGTTTTTGAGGATGTCTCGTAGGCTTGCTTCGTTTTTGGATTCGTCAACTTCGACTTTTGAAGGAAGTCTAGCATAATTGCTTCCTTTTCAGACAGATAGATAGATACACAGACAGGCAAATGGATATATGATAAATAGACAGATATAGGTAGATAGATAGTTGATTGAGATAGGTGGAGATAGATAGGTGGAGATAGATAGGTGGAGATAGATAGGTGGAGATAGATAGGTGGAGATAGATAGGTGGAGATAGATAGGTGGAGATAGATAGGTGGAGATAGATAGGTGGAGATAGATAGATAGATAGATAGATAGCTAGGTAGATAGATAGATAGATAGATAGATAGAGAGAGATATATAGACAGACAGACAGATAGATCGATGGATAAATAGATGGATAGATAGAAAGATAGATAGACAGACAGACAGGCAGATAGATAGATAGATCGATGGATACATAGATGGATAGATAAATAGGTAGGTAGATAGGTAGGTAGGTCGATGGATGAATGGATGGAAGGACAAATGGATAGATGGATAGATGGATGGATGGATGGGTGGAGAGATAGATAGATAGATGGATGGATGGATGGATGGATGGATGGATGGATGGATAGAGGGATGGATAGAGAGATGGATTGATGGATGGATGGATGGATGGATGGATGGATGGATAGATAAAGAGAGATAGAGAGATAGAGAGATAGAGAGATAGAGAGATAGAGAGATAAATATAGAGAGATAGATATAGAGAGATGAATAATACAGAGAGATAGATATGAAGAGATAGAGAGAGATAGAGAGAGATAGAGAGAGATAGAAAGAGATAGAGAGAGATAGAGAGAGATAGAGAGAGATAGAGAGAGATAGAGACAGATAGATAAATCGGTAGATAGACAGATAGATAGATAGATAGATAGACAAATGGATAGAGAGAGAAAGAGAGAGAAAGAGACGTAAAGAGAGAGAGAGAGAGAGAGACATAGACTCTCCCATCCATGAAATGAATCACAACAATTGACTATCTTTAAAACTTCCGAGTACCGCCTTGTGCGGTACTATGTTATATTGTATGCGTGTATCATAGACTTCACGAACTCTCAGGACACTTCCCACGCTGCCAAGGTCCTGCGTGCACTCCGATGCTGGGTCGTAGGCTCCGTAGGCCGGACTTCGGGGCAAAATTAAATGATGTCCTGGGACGATTCCCAGGGGCTGCCATGGGTCTTTGTCTTTGTTTGGTCTGGGCCACCCCCAACCCAAATGGATCCGAACATAGGGTACCCTTTTTGAAGTGGTTGATGATGATTTTCCCCGTGAAACCATGTGTGTGTATATATAATATATATATATATATACATGCATACATATGCATATACAGTATTAAAATGTATTATATACACAGTATATATGCCTAGAGACTCGTGCGGCATCAAAATTTTGATGCTGGTCTAGCGAAACAGTGTTTCATCTGATTGCCGCTGAAATTTCTGGCATGCGCCGTTCTTTGGGAAACAAATATGGTTTTAGATTTTGGTGCTGGGATGCGCCGTTTTTGCCCATGATTGCACCGTTTTTGTCCGTGATTGTGCCTTCCTTGCCCGTGCAGAATTTCCATTGCGCCGTTTTTGTGGAATTGTGCGATGTTTTCTACATTGCGCCATTCTTGTGGACTTGCGCCTTATTTTTTTGTAGGTTGGGAATGCGCCAAAAATTTTTGGATACATGAGTCTTTAAGTATACACATACAGTATCATATACATATGATATATATATATGTATATAATATATATATATACATATTAGATATATATGCAAATGTTATACATGATAGCAACTGCCATTTGCGAGATCATTTCCCCATGTTCAAAGTGGAAGATCTTAGCCGCGCCAGGAAAACTACCCCGATGCAAACCCACAAGACGTAAGTTGGTATCAGCATCTCAGGGACCGAAACCAACGTCACACACGCATGATACCCCGGTTCATCCGCGTTCTTTACGTATATTGTATGTATGTATATTAAATATTTATATATATAATACATATTAATTACGTATTAACATATACATAGAGGCAAGTATATGCCCGCGTTGATTCAACCATTGATTCTCCATACCGCAAAGACCTGACCGTGCTGAGCATGTCCCACACCAACTCTTCAGAGTGTTTGTTGAAAATCCAGTTGGGGCTGCATTTTTCAAGCCACTTTACGTTAGAAAAGTCATGGGCAGAACGATATGACATTGGCATTTTTGTGTTCATCAAAATGGCTGAAAAGAAACCCACTGACCAACCATTTGCCAAGATTTACCCACAGGGTCAATGTCCTGGAGGATTGATTTTGAAGAATGGTGCAGTAGATTGTTGTACTCCCACATTTATGGCTACAAATCGAGCGCCAATAAACGACCAATCCAAGGTTTAATCGGAAGTACCATCCAATCGCAAGCTTCGAGCAAAGACGACAATCAGGAAGAAAATCAAGCCTGCGTGTGTGGATGACCAGACGCACTTGCTGGTGGTTGAGCCAGCCATCCCAACGATACTAGATGATATACATATATAAATCTAAATAGATAAGAAGTTAGTCAGCTGGAATGATCATTGCAGGCAAAAACGGAAGTCAATAAGATTAAAAATCACCCAACCTTGGATTTCTGTCCCACGGTCATCAACAAATGATTTTCTTTGGGTGAGGATAGAGAGCTATCTTGCCATACGGCTTCGGGCTTCAGGCCTTTGGGCCCGGGCACTTTTCGATAGAAAAGATTGGATAACATGGCATAGCTGTATAGCATGTACCAAGAGATTCACATCTGGAACTTTAATCCCAAAGAATATGGCTGTGGCCTGAGGCTGAGAAAATCTGTAGAATGATCCCCTTGAAATTTGCCAACGATCCAACCATCGTAAAGTTTTGGGTGTAACTTTGAGGCTAACTATATATAATACTTGATAGATATGGAGGTTCCTAAAATGGGGGGTACCTCCAAATTAGTCAATTTTAATATATTGAGACATATTGAGACCATTTGAAACCCATGGTGACTTGATGACCCCCTCATTTTACGACCCAACTGATGGGCCGATGGCCTGCTAGTATACCGCACCAGCACGCTCGAAAGCACAACCACAGGATACTTCCGCCATCTGCGTTGGGGTCGATGGTTCGCTTTTCCTAAGCAAACCCCAAGAAAACTCCGATACTGCGAAACAAACTCGGAATTCGGAAGGGGGTTCATCATTGAAGGACACCCAACAAACAACGTGTTGAGTGGGAATCACATTTTTCAATCTGGAAACATACTGTTTTTTAACTTGATGCTGCATTTTGTCTCCAACGCTTTAGGATTTCCAATTTCAAATCCATTTCAAACCAGTTCCCACTGTCCCTAGGGTGGTGGAATTTGGCCCCTGTACCAGAGGGAACTGTGGTAATGGACCCTTCCATGCAGAGCGCAAAACGAATTCCGGGCTCCAACTGGACTTTTTGAGACACATTCACAGTCTTGGGATTGGGACTCAAACTTGGATTTGCCAATAGATGGCTCCCGAAAAAGAATACAACCACAGGATTCCCCCTGTCATAGTTGATGCTCCTCAAGATAAAACGAACAAACAACAACTAAACATATTCCCCGTAGAATTCTAATGGCATTCCCACCCATAGATTATTCCCAGTTCCCACACAATATGTCCCATGGCAAGGGTCGAAACTACCGGCACCGTGCCCAACAAAGGCCTCGGCTGTGGATTAAACCACTGGGGATTTGGGGGAACACAACAGGCAAATCCATGTGGAAGACCACGACGCCGACAGGATGTCAAAGAGCGAACACATTATAGGGCTGGCGGTACAACCAAACTGCCTTCCGAAATTACGGCTAAGACATGCCACAACTATGCTAAAATCACAGATATGCGAAACCGGGAGAAACAGATTGAGCGCCAATCAATACTTGCTTGCATCCCTTTCTTGAAATTTCCAATTGTTTGGCAAAAGCATCAATTTCATCCAATTTCCACAAGTAAACCGCCAACACAAACTAGTGGCATGGTATTGGGATGGTATGGCTGGCCATGAACAATTTATTTCAGAGTCTTGGTAAAACACGCGCATATCTGCTGTATTTGTCAATAACAAAATCTACAGTATGTGCTTTATTGATGTCTATTGGTGATTTCAAACCATTCCAGAAATATATACCCATCATATCTCATCACTACTCATGGATATTCAATGAATAAACAACAAGTACAAAGGAACATCTGACACGCAAAACACTTGTCCTTTCCTTCTGACTCGACACAGACCAACATAAAGTTAAAAATTATATAAGGTTATATACACACACATATATCATTGCTTGACTGGGTGCACCCCATGACTCAAACCCGTGTTCTTGTCGTTCAATCATGTTCAATCACGATGTTTGTTATTGCCATTGCTGCTGGTTGGAAACACATATTGAGTTTGTTTGGGTTCTTGAATCAACACTTTATGTCCTCCATTCAGTTCATCCCCCTATGCTGAGACTTCCTCAGACAGACTTCCGTAGAAATACTTCCTGCATAAAAGGTTGTATTCAAGTATATTCAAGTCATGAGGTAAACCCATAAGGTAAACCCAAGAATGAACCATCCCGAATTGGAGTATATTGCTGGTTGGGTATACACCTGATTGGTGTGTCAGATGACCCGCAGATTGTTGGAGACTTGGACGGGGCGGGGCGTATATCCGTATATCCACCCGTTCATGGCAAGGAACATCAAATACTAGACGATCCTTTACCTCTCGGCTTACTCACTTGTTTACCTGTTTTGCTTGGTTTTAGGATACCTGTGCCTAACTCAAATCTGCTGCCCCCCCTCCTTGATTCCCCACCTGCCAGGTTAGGGTCTCTAGGTCTAATTATTTAATTTTAACGCAACTCCTCGTCCTCCTCCTCCTTCCATCCTTCCTTCCTTCCCCCCTCTTCTCCTCCTTCATCCTGTCCTCTTCCTCTTGCGCCTACTCCTGCTCCGCCTGATGTCAGCCATGTCTTTCCGAGCCAAAGAATGCCAGATAAAACACCAGAATAGATGCAAGAAAGAATGTTCCACAAAATGATAAAATGTCAGAATGGATGCCAGAAAGAATGTCGGACAGCATGCCAGGCAGAATGTCAGAAAAAATGCCAGAAAGAATGTCAGAATTGATGCCAGATAGAATGTTAAAATAAATTAAAATGATATGTCAGGGTGTGGATTGCTCGAAGTAAAGTATTTCAATTGTTAGTGCCAGTAATTATGTTTTTTCCACTGGGTCTGGCAATGGTCTGCCGCTGGTCTGAGCATCTAAAGGGGTGATGCTTCTTGACGGGGTCTGCACAGCTCTACAAGTTGATTGCTGCCACGCTTTATACGTCAGTTGGGTAGCTGGTGGGGCCAAAAAAGTGCTGAGTGCAGGGATATAGGGATTTTGTTTTTGTGCGTTTCTTCGGTTTGTTGGGTTCTCGACTTCTGGGCCGCTGGTTGTGTTTTTCCATGTTTTTCCCGAATGCGTAGCAAGGGTTCCCGTTTCCACTCTGGGGGTCTGGAGGCTGAGGGTGTGTTCGCTCGACGTTGCCTAACCGTCCGCAACCGTCCGCAACCGTTCGCAACCGTCCGCAACCGTAGGGGTCACTTAAGGTTTCACATGTGGCATTGCTTCGTTTCGCATGGCAGGTGGCACTTCGTGACATTCAGACGTGTTTGGCAACGTGTCTTGTGCGACGTTTTCAGAAGATGCGTTGCAGTTTTCATGGCGGGCGCAGCACTTCAGACGTGTCGTGTTGCGTGTTTTTTGCGAATCGTATTGTCAGGGCTGCGTCAAGTGGCGACAAGGTGCAAATTCCATGGCAGGCGTGGCATTTTGTGAGATGTGTTGAAAATTGACGGAAGCCTCGCACAAAACATCGATTTTGAGGTAGCAAATTCAAATCTTCTTATAAGAAAACTCTTAGGAAAACATCGATTTTAAAGCTACAAAGTGTGAAAATTGGAGGACGTCTCGCACGAAATGCTCGTTTTGATGCTCCCAGGTGTCTCGTCTCGAGTCTCTGGTTTTCCTGTGGCCTCGCCGTGTCTATGGGGGAAGCTGCAAAACCTCTCCTTTTCGAAGGTTTCCAAGCAGGTTGTAAGGTTGTTTTGCGTGGCAGGTGCGGCACTTTGTGACATTACAACATACTACAACCTGTTTGATAACATGTCGAAAATCGTTTTGTGTGGCAGGCGCAGTACTTTTGCGTCGTTTTCACAAAATGACTTGCAGTTTTCGTGGCAGGCGCAACATGTTGGAGATTTCTGTCGTTATTTTGCGTGGCAGGCGCAGCACTCCACACTCCACACTCCACCCTTTACACTTTACACTCCACACTCCACACTCTACAATTTACACTTTACACTTTATACTCTACACTCCACACTTTACACTTTGCATTTTACACTCCTCACTCCACACTTTACACTCCACACTGTACACTCTGCAATTTACACACTCCACACTCCACACTTTACACTCCACACTCCTTACTTTACACTCCACACTCTACACTCCACACTCCACACTCTACACTTTCCACTCCACACTCCAGACTCCACACTTTACACTCCACACTCTGCACTTTACACTCTACACTTTACACTTTACACTCTACTCTCCACACTCCACACTCCACACTTTACACTTGACACTTGACACTCCACACTTTACACTCCATACTGTCCATACTTTACACTCCAGACTCTACACTCCACAGTCCACACTTAGCACGCCACCTTCTTGCATATTCCACAGTCAAAAAAAAACTGTTTCAGAAAACACTTATGGTAACAGGGGAAACATGTACAAGACTGTTCAAATAAACTGTTTCAGAAAAGTGTTCTGCCTGACTGCATATCCATGTGTTTCGGCATCTGTACCCTTAACATACGTGTGAGCATTCGGGTTCGTGGGCTGCATCTTGTTGTGTATATGTTGGTATTATGTTGGTTTACGTTAGTTTTTTCATATGTCCGCCCAGCAAGCAGGAAGAATCAAAGTGTGTAAACCTAAGACAAACTGTACTTGTTTGCCAGGGTCTGGTGTCGTTGCCAGATCCTCACGTTCGATCTCTGGACATGGTGACATGACCGTGTCGTTGCCAGACTGACCCTCCTAAGTCCGTCTCGACTGAAATAAGAACATGGCAGGGGTGTGGCATGGCCAAGGCTCCATTGTGTTTCTGCCGTGGCCCTGCTAGATGTCGGGGTGAGTCGCTGAAAAAGTTTGCAAACTCTATGCAAACGCTCAATCTTCCTGCCCTTTTAGGTTGCAGATTCATATTTGACAAAAATTGTGTCATTCCATTTTTCTTCAAGGAGGTCGCAACCATTTTGAAGTGTGGGCAATCATGACGTCAGACCCTTTCTAGGAACTATCCCTGGTGAACTCATGTACCAGTGGACCAAGACTAAAAGCATCAAACAAAATGAACTCTCTGAGAAATCAAAAATTGCATTGCCCCCATGGACGCACGGCGGGGTAGGTGATTCAATTTTAAAGGCATGAAAATGGTTTGAGGTATAATATCCCAATTCTCATATATTGGAAGTTCGTATCCCCAATTGTACTTGTTGATAATATCCTTTAGCAAGGCTTTCCCAGATATCTACTTATTGTTGATCAGTTCCTTAATTTTCTTGATTACATCCCTTTTTTGTTACATCCATTGTTTATCATCACGTCTCCAAGAAAAAAACTGCGTTCGCCGTTGTTTATCCTCATCTTCCCAACAATTTTAAAGAGTGAATATTTTCCCCATGGATCCAAACACTTCCAAGGTACTTCACCGAACCCCTGAGATCGAGGTGCAAAGGTGTCCACCTTTTCGTAGGCGCCTCTGCCGTCGCCGACCCATTTCCTCAGCATATTGGCGAACTGTTGGGTAACTAGGGTACTGTGACTCAACCTTCTTATATCTATACATCACATATAATATCACATAGTAATATCAGATACTGTATAATTATACAGTCTTGGTGTTTCTTCTCTTGTTTTTCCCCTCATTCCAAACCAAATTCGATTACATATCGAACAGTTTATTCTTCAGTGGGATAAGTAATCCATTCTTCACGGTTTGGGCAGGTTTCAAAACCCCAAACATCCCACGAACTGACCATTGAAAAAAAAATATTCTTGTGGAGATGATCCTAAAGTTGACTAAATAGCTGGCATTTTTCGGATACAATCCCGCTACTAGTACAAAAAAAGGGAAATCACAGTATGTGAAACAGTGAAAACCATCACACCAAATGGGAGATTGTATTTTCCTGGGCCGCGGCCGCGTTCTTCATTTTTCTAACCCATCACAAATCTTAAGATACCCATACCAAAGTGTCATCTACTCCACAACCATTGACTCTGTCATCCACTATGCAGGCACAATTCAAACCATCACCATAGGCATGGGCATGGCTGCCAATGGCTGAAAAACACAAGCAAACAACGGTGTTTTGATCCCGAAGAGGATCGATTGATCGACAAACCCCAGGCCTCCAAAACTGGAAATATTAGCATTCGACAATTTGACAATGTTTGGGATTCTCCTTACAGCCATAGGCGCGATAACCATGAATAATCACATGTTTTGACCCGTTTTTCTTACAAATCCTTACTATATTTTACTATAAAGTGCAATGTATGGTTTTGTCTGGCGTATCATGGTGTTTCATATTTTTCTATATTTTCCCGTTAAATTGCCACCTATTGAAGATTCATATGTCCAATACCCCTTTAAAGTCACCATTCTCACAGAGACCCCATTTGACGATCTATGGCAAGGTACCAATTCGAATGGTTCGTCTTCTCGGTTGGTTCGAAGCAAACCATGCCTGTCGCTTCGATTGGCAGGGTTCAGTTGAGTGATTGGGGGGTCAAGTCGGTCAAGTGATTCAGGCTTCATTAAGAAACCCACAGTGGGGATTTATAAAAATTATCCCTGCAAGAGACCCCAAACAGTGTAGGGGGAGTAAAAAGATCATGTATGATGATGATGATGATGATGATGATGATGATGATGATGATATTAATGTTGGTGATGATGATGCTGATGATGGTGATGATGGTGATGATGATGATGATGGTGAAGATGATGATGATGATGATGGTGGTGGTGATGATGTTGATGGTGATGATGATGATGATGATGATGCTGATGATGATGATGATGATGATGAGGGTGATGATGATGATGATGATGATGACGATGATGGTCTTGATGATGATGATGATGGTGATGATGATGGTGATGATGATGATAATGACGATGGCGATGACGATGACGATGATGATGATGATGCTGCTGCTGCTGATGATGATAATGACGGTGACGATGGCGATGACGATGGCAATGATGATGATGGTGATGATGATGATGATGATGATGATGATGATGATGATAACGACGACGATTAAGATTGATGGCGTTTGATTGATTGATTGGTTGTTTGATTGTTTGTTTGATTGATTGATTGATTGACTGATTGATTGATTGAGTGACTGACTGATTGATTGATTGATTGACTGATAGATAGATTGATTGATTGATGAAGAAGAAGTGCATGTCTGATTGTGGCATCACCAAGAGGCAGTAATGAAACAAAAGAAACTGCGGGCATGAACGGTTTTTCCTGTCAAGGCAATGATGATTTTGCCGGATAGGCCGTTAATTGAAACTATGGCAGCCAATCTACAGTAATGACAAGTGATCCCTGTCAGTTGTGAAATTGACCATTGAGGGGTCTGAACGTAGCAGCAGGGATAACCTCCGCGCAATTGACACTGACCTTTGCCCATGCAACAATAGACACGGGCAACAGCAATGCCAAGTAATGACAACTTTCGCACCTGCATATGCAAGCACCTCACCCCTTTAGACACTTGTTGGCCCATTTGGAAACATTTTGATGCATTTTTGAACAAGTTTGAGCAATTTCGACAATTTTGAGCAATTTTGAGCAATTTTGAGCAATTTTGAACAGTCTTGAGCAATTGTGAACAGTTTTGAGCAATTTTGAACAACTTTGAGCAATTTTTTCGGGCCAGCTTGGGTGATTTCGAACAATTTTGAGTATTTTTGTCGGTCAAGTTTGGGTCATGTCGAGCAATTTTGAACAGCTTTTGGAAACACGATATGGCATTGTCGGCCTTGGATAGTGTTCAAAATGTCTCAAGTGAGGCTGCTTTAAGACATCTTACTTTGGCTGAAAAAGGTGGCTGATGTAAACCCGACGGATCTAGACCCTAAAACGAGATCAGAGAGAAAAGAACACTTTGTGCGAGCCTGCGCAGTCGAAATGAACATGGACATGTCACAAGAAGCATTTGTGCGGACATTTACAGGGAAAATGCCAAACGCTTCCGATACCACCTCGATTGAACACCGGGCCTTAACACTTACCGTAACAACCCCTTCAGTGTGGCCATACTGTTTGGGGAAGTAGACTGATCCAGCAGTGATTGGTGAAAGGGTGGGGGGTTATATAGCCAAAAAATTGCAGGATTGAACCATGAAAATAGGGATGATCAAAAAAAACAAAATGAGTTTCTCAAAACTTGTTTTAGCCAAGACTGGGGTGAAAAGCCAACAAAAAACCTCTGGTTGCGTGGGCATGTGTCAAGTCATCAAAGGGTACCCGTTTGGGCCCACCAAAGGCTAACCGCTTTTTGGATGGAGACACTTCGGTATATCACACTTCATCCCATTTGTTTCCAATAATACACCCATTCTATCTTGGACACTCGGAAAAAAACAACTCACATAGATGTTCGAAAACCAAGGTTTTCCCATTCAGAAACTGATCTAGACATGGTGGGTTTTCCCCATCTATGTAAACGTTTACTAGATTTGAACCATTACACAAAAAATGCGTTTCACCAATGAATATGGTTCAATGGGAGGATAGATCGGCCCCATTCCTCGGACTCAAAAGAGGAGGATTCTATCCACCGTCCACCATCTCCACCTTCATCTTCCCACGCAGCGTCATGGGCTTGACCTGAGAAGAAACGATGTGTGTTCATCTTTTGTTGGGCCACTCTATGTTTGATTGCTGAAAAGATAGTGCACATGATATAGACACGATTTACAAACAATATGTTTAGACCAAACAGTTGTTATGATATGTGCCTAGGTATATGATCAATAACAATTACAATTGAAATACTCAATAGCCATTTATCCTACATAACAAACCCATTCCCGGGTAAACCCTCAGCATGTGGGATCCATTAAGTATCCACAGACCACAGAGTTTATTGCTGGGGAAAGGATCATCAACCATCATGGGATTCAACAAGCAGAAAGTTCCTGCGGCCGCAATCGTGTGCAGATTTCCCGGCAGCCAATCACGTTTATTAACAATATATTAAAAAGGGTTGAACTTGGTGGGAGGGTAGTTGAATCCCCATGAAATGAGTAGCAAAAATGATACAATTATCCAACCTTCAAACCAACCAAACACATCTGTTGCGGGCCATCTCGTGGCTAAAGGATACATGGCAGCAACATGTAACAACCATGATATGATATGCCATGATCATCCATGATCCATTCCTGTTCTCACAGCGTGCCTGCATTCCTATCCTCCGACCCCTCTCTTAAATGGCCCAAACTGGTCAACTCATACCTATGGCTCAATGATTTCGAAATTCCCAGCATGATGGCCATTCGTTACACCGGCAAGAGACCCCAAACAGTGTGGGGGGTGGGAAGTCGATGTGCCAGATACAAGCAACAGCAGCTACATGGAACAGCAACAAATGAGGTTGGACATCATCGCAACGCGACCATGCCAGAAGAACTTTCATACAAGCACCAATGCAGAGTCTGCAGAGCATCTTCGACAGCTTAATGCAAGGACCTCTTGAGGAGGATTTCACAGGATCACCACAAGGTCTTCTCAAAAGTACCTGCACGAAGTACGACATCATGTAAGGACACCTAGAAGATTTCACCGGGACCTCGTCAAGAGCTTCTCACAAGGACCTGTACAAGATCATGAAAAGGCCTCTGACGGCGATCTCCACAAGAGCTTCTCACAAGGATTTGTAAAAGACCTTGACCCCTAAAAGAAGCTCACAAGATCGTCATAAAAGGACCTGCTGCTGCGGGAGCGGATCTTATTAGATCTTGATACAGGAACCTCCCAAGAGCCTCCCACAAGAGCTTTCATGCAAGCACCTCTAAGACATGGCATCTACAAGATCTTCATGCAAGGATCTCTTAGAGAGGATCTCACCAAGATCTCCACAAGATCTTCTGTTAACATCTTAGAGAGGAATTTAGCAGGATCTCCACTTCCGAGAAAATTTACAATGAACAGGCCGCAGACCAAGAGCCCGCGGCGCAGACTTTGTGGGAGTCTGCGCAGTCGAAATGCACATGGACATCTCACAAGAGCAATTTTATGCGATAATTTGCAGGAAAAATGCCGCGCTCCAAGATCGGGACAACCTCGCGGCGCAGACTTTGTGCAAGCCTGCGCAGTCGAAATGCAAATCCCTCAGTGTGGACACACTGTTTGGGGAAATTCACTTTGTTTCACACCCAGGACACCCAACTGACCCAACTGACCCTCGACTTCTCCTTTTTCCCTTTCAATCGAAACTTTCATTGAGTTCGTTGAAGATACTTCGAAACCATGGTTGGACCATGGTTTTCACCCGGACCCGTAATCGTCTTCAAAATCGTCAAAAATCGTCATAACGGGTCTCCAAATTTCAAAAATCTTCAAAAACTCTTCGCCCTCCCCGTTTTTGGGTCGAAATCGGCTCTGGAAATCCGATTTTTTCACACCAAGCGGCTGAAGTGATCGCCGAAGTGAAGCCCATGGTGCCCGGGGCTCATGTGCCCATGGCCCATGTGTCGACTGCCATGCCCCGGCCCCACGTGCACCGTGTGGCCTATGTGGCCATTGGGCATGTAGCTGCCCAGCCTGGCAAGGCTTGGAAAACTCAACATAATTCAACCACGTGTTGGCTTTTGTTGGTTTCAACACCCCATGAACTACATATGTATATACGCGTATATACGTATAAACATACATGTGTAGTACATGTTTATATATATATATATATACATACATACACCATTCACCTTTCACCTTCATACTCATGCACCCTACAGTAGAGAAATTAATTATAAGACAGCGTAGCCGACGAATTGGTGCACCCCCTTCTAGAGATTTGCAAAGTACTATGGGTCAATTATTCACCAAGACAATTGCCAGCAGGTATATGTACTAGATGATTTGTAAATGGATGCAAAGGCATTACTTCAATCAAAACGACAAGATGTTTTTATGATTGAGGATTTGAGGTAGTTTGGTTCAGTGGTGCATCCCAAAAACTAATTGAACCCATTGTCAAGTCTGATGATATTAGCCAATCAGACATGAACTGTTCCAAATCCGGCAGGACACAACCAAATTTTGACGGCTGAAATGTTCCGAAATCATCTCCCAGGACCATGTGATGACCGACTGGTGATGTAGACAAGAATTTCGAAATTGGATGTTTGTGTGCATATATAAGTGTATATATATACATAACGGGTATATATATATATGTATGTGCCTTAATATGTGTATATACGAGTCTATTTTTAAGTGTGTGTGTATATATACATATGATCATATAAGTATATATAAGTGAACTATATATCATATATTACATGTACGTGTATATATATATATCATCAGAGTTATTCGCCATCTTGAAAACAGAAACCAATGGTCAAAAGGAGTCCCCCATTTTAGGCAACCCAAGGTTTGAATGGATCTCTACATGTTTCCCCGTAGATGCCAAGCATAACTGCTAACTTCTAGCATTCCCAATCGTCCAAAGGGTATGTCTGATAATGGAGTAGGCCGCCAGTTCCACGTTTTTTTCTACGGGAAAATGATGGTAATACATGGTAATACCCTACTTGTTGGAATCTTTAACCCCAAACATCACTGAAATGTTTTTCCGGCCAAAATGAAGGGTCGGATAAATATTACATCAAACGCGAACATTTTTTGTGGTTTCATTGGTACAGTACCCCATTTGTGAGAAAGTCTAGTGGCCTGAGTTTCAAGCCCAAGAGGTTTTGCGACGCCGATGAAAAAAGCGCCGTGCACGGCCACGTTTCTGCCGCGCACTGCCGCTTGCTGCCGCACCATTGGCTGAGAGCCAAAGTTTTGCCGATGACAAAAACTGGGACGGATCAGGATGGATCGGAGAAACCCAAAAGTGGAAGATCAAGAGGGCGATAAATTGTTCATGTAAATTTAACATAGAACCATCCAGGATCCAAATTCTTGAGCCGATTTTGAGCCATTGCCAAATGCAAGGCATTGAGATGAAACAAGATACATCAAGTACCATGTTAGCAGGATTTGTGCCACCAAGTTTGAGGAAACACAAACTGGTTTGATGGTTGACCTACACTGATGAACACCAGCTGCTACAACCTACACAAAAACTCACGGTATATCTAGATATGCTAGTTGTATCCTACTGTTGTTCTTCAAATTCTCAATCTCCATTGCTTAACACGTTCAACTTCCATGCTGTTGCTCCCGTCTAGTGATGAACCATGTTATCAGGAAATTACCAAACTCTTCAACGGATAAACATTGTCTAGTCCATTTTCAATCAGTATGTTGAGCCTGTGATCAGGTCATATGTCCATTATTTGGACAAACTGATAAAGGACAATTCACAATAGCCATAATAATCTGTATCTCGGCATTTGTCCATTAAAACATTGGCCTTGATGAAAAATTGGATAATTACCCGAAATCAAATTGTTGAAACCCTCTTTTGTCCTATCGACATGGCTATATATTAAATGAGTGGGTATACATCGTATCAAGTGGGTTATGCATATAATATAATGTTATATCCCCGTCACATATCCTATATTGTATCCCCATTCAACCACTATATTCATTCGTCAAATCCCCATTTATGATGGTAAAACTCCCACAAACAAAACCACCTCATTTTTTGGGTTTTAATTCCTATAAAACCAACATGTGTCTTGATTAGATCCCATAAAACCAACATGTTTCGTGGTAAAAAAAATAATGATAATAATAATGAATAGCATTTGTTTGACCGCTAAACCACCATGGCCCTCCGATGCCTGGCTTCTGCAAAAAGTTCTGAGACTTGGGCATCCACCATCACCGTTTTCACGCGGAAGGTGATCATTCGTTGACGCAAGGTCATCCTGGGCACCGCGGTGCAACCCTGCCGAATGCCGAATGTCTATTTAGACATGATATATTTGTGTATTTATAATATACATATATATATATATATCACACACATATATATATATATAATTATAAGTTTGTAGGATCTTGGTACATAGACATAGAATGTATATGTATATGAGATCTAATCCTATATATTCATAATATTAATCAATGTTATACAATATTTCTATAATCGAGGGGTCCCTCAAATAAGCGAACATCCATCGGTTGAATTCTGGTGGTGATTGGGGTGAACCCAGTGCCACACCAGATCAATTCTGGGGCTTGTCAATAACCATGGTGGGGTCATCTAAATAGCTAAGTTGGTTTATATAATTTCTACATATATATATATATATGTATGGTACCCGCCCCCAAGACCTACCTTTCAAACAAATTTAGTGGTATTTACAGCGTTTTTCTTAACATTTTGAACTCTTAAACTTAGGGCATTTTTTGGTGATCAAGAATTGCATTTGTTTTGCAAGTTTGTTCCCATCCCACCCTTCCCTAAGTACATCGGATTCAAGATTCAAGATTCAAGATCCCAAAAAGACTTCTTGAATCCGACGGGGCAAGATTCAAGATTCAAGATCCCAAAAAGACTTCTTGAATCCAAGGGGCTAAGGATTCAAGATTGATTCAAGATCCAAAAAAATCTTCTTGAATCCGAAGGCCTTCAGCCAAAGAGATTGGATTGTTTTTTTTTCTTTTTCTGAGCCTTGAATCGTGAATTTTGAATCCAAATACTTAAAATAATATTAGTCACCAGAAATTGTATTTTGTTCAATCTCTTGCATTTTTTTGCAAATGATCGGCCTGTCTGCTAAGGACATTCCTCAAATAAACTTGTTTATCCTGGAAAAGAAAATTCTATAAAACCCATCTTTTCTCTGCGTTCCAAACAAATCAACCAACTTTGGCAAAAATAACGAAAAACATAAAAAAAATGCAACAAAGGTAATTAGATTCATCCTTCTGCAATTTTAACCAGTAATTTCTTTTAACAAACAAGAAGGAAAAAAACATAAGAAGTAAAAATACATGAACTCATCCGATAGCAATACGTTTTTATCTACAAATCAATTCAAACTTTCCTAACAAACTGTATTAGAAAGGGTTGCAGGTAGATCGGCAAAGAAAAACCTTCGTTTAAACAATCATTGTTGCAATTTATGTTTAGAAAAAAGGTAATAGACTATAAACACCCGATGCTACCAAAGTTCACATCACAAAATGGTAGAATATTATCATGAAAAAACAAACAAATCAATCTGAAAAAAAAACATATTCAAGATTAAAAAAACAATTTGATTAACTTAAAACTAGATCCTCAGAATGAGCTAAAAACAACCAATAAAAATAGGATCTTTAGAAGTAAAAATAAATATTCACACAATGCTAGAAACTCCTATAATACAAAAAAAAAAGCACACAATTAAGAACTACAAAAAAGTAAGACAATTTATAGTATGACAAAGATTTAAAAACATGATCCAGAGTTTTTTACTTATTAATTTAATATAATCAAAATCATGTATGTTTAACAAATAATATATCTAATTCAAGCACTCCTGGTTTTAAAGCAATGAAATTATAAGATCATCTACATTATACAGATTTTAAAAATGAATTACTACAGCAAACAAATATCAACTCTTCTAGAAAAAAAGATTGTAGATGCTGAAGAAAAGGCTAATGGAAATAACGTGGATTCACAAAAACACATAATACAATTAATTAACATCAAATGAGAATATTATTGTTTATTGTCAATTTACTATGCACAGCTTGATGGAATGTTTTGAAATTGTAGGAGGAGTAAAAAGGTAATTACACTATAAAATCACTATGTCTAAAAAATTATAACTGGAGATTATTCTTATACAATATCTATTGTACTTTTTACAGCTTTATTATCTGCAAAATCTTGCGGAAAATGAAAATGTAAAATTTCAAGATGCATTAACTATATCATCTAATCTTGCACAAAGCTCAGCTTTGATCGAAGCTAAAAGGTTTCAAATAGCTACGGGAAATTTAGTAAACATGAATTCCACCAGTAGTCATTAAAAAAAACTACCTTACAAAAAGTGGTATTCATCGAAATATATATATATAAATAATATGCTATACTCTGTTGCAAAGACAGATAACAAAAATTCAACCCACCTAGTCCCCTAATCATATTGCTGCAAATCCTAAAGGTGATGTAAAACACCAAATGCTGTAGAAGATATTGAAAAACATACTTGCAAGAATCAGATAATAGACAAAAAATATTGTTGATATATTAAACATGACTGAACACATACAAAAGAAAACATTAAATATAATATAATGAAAAACATATGTCAAATATAGATGTTACAGCGCTATGCTGCAGCTACATATGTGGGCAGGATGTGTCCAGGCGCATGCCCAAGATACTTTCCTGATGCAGTGCTACAATAGGTGATAAGATAAGAAGCAAGACAAGGCATTCAAGGACATAACTGCTACACAAAAGGTAGGTCTTGGGGGGGTGCATATTAACATTTAATAACCCCATGGTTCATTAGATGATAATGATTATACCATTCTGTTTGAAACAGCAAAAGTCAAGGACCGGCTGCTCTGTAAAACACCTAGCCTTCAGAAGGTGCCCCAGATGGGCTCTTTGTCCCACTGAACAGTGCTTGTTTCAGGTTGTGTAAATCATTTGGGTCACACATTACTCACATAAAAAAAACGGCCAATAATGCTAGAGGATGTTGGAATACAGTGTTGAAGATTCAAGTGGCATGTTTGATTTCATATTCTGCCTTCTCACACCTTGTCCATGTCTGACCTGTCAGTTTCTGGCATGACAAGTTGTCCATGCCCGACAGCCAATGTTGGCAATGCTATTGGAAGGATTCTTGTAGATGAGAATATATGATAATCATAGATTTTCATAGTGATGAGACCTGATAGTGCAAAATATGTTCAAACATGTTCAACCATGTTTTTTTCCAGCATGGTTGGGATATATTGGGATAGTCCTCAAATCTGGATGGACAAAAATGAAATAGGCAACCAGCTAAGGGTTACATTCACAGGAACTAATTTGTCAAGTACAATCCCAGTTTCTTCCTTTCATCCAAATTCTTTGGTCAACCAAATGCAAACACAGGAGTTTCCACCACAAATCGACATACTAAGATTTTCCAACAAGATTTTGCATTGTCTTAAAATAAGGTATCCAAAAATGTTGATCATCTACTTAAGAACAAACCATTTGGGGGTATCACCGCTTTCTGGACGATAACCTGCTTACGGGAGGCATGGCACAGAATGGTCCAAAAAAATTGGAGGTTCATCAATTCAATTTGGGCGTGATTCATGGTGATGTGCTTTATTTTTCTTGGAGAAACAAGCAATCCCATCTGGACAAATTACAATATGAATATAATGTACATATACAAAGAATATATATATATATAAATATGAATATGAAACTGTATGGTTTTTGTAAACCTTAAATAAACCCATCTTTGGGTTGGTTCCCACGAACATTGGGAATTCTGCTGGACTGGTTTCATCTCATTTCATCCCATCACTTCACCCTGAGAAATATATGGGCCAAAGATGTCATGGAAAAAATCACCATATGTCTGATTATCTGGTGGTTATTTGCTGGTATGTATATACCCAATGTTCAGTCAAACTGCAAACATCCTATCAACATATATATTAATCTATCAAGTTGCTTGCATATGATTGCATATTCATTATAAAATCCAACGAAATACCACCGTGAGAAAACATGATATTCACTCCATTTGAAAACATGATATTCACTCCATTTTTCTCTGGTCAAATCCTGTAAAGCCAACCATATTTGTCGCCCAGGATCTGTTTGTCGCCTCGCCGACTTCTGGCTGGGATCACAATGCAACAGCCTGGAAATTCATGGTGGTTTCATGTGACGGAAAAATGGTGGTTTAATGGGAAATATATATATATAAGATATTATAAATCATATATTATATTATATTATACTATATTATATCATATTATATTATATATTATATTATATTATATATTATATTATATATGATATTATATATTATATTATATATTATATTATATTATATTGTATTATATTATATATTATGTTATATTGTATATGATATTATATATTATATGATGTTATATATTATATAATATATTATATAATATATTATATAATATATTATATTATATTATATATTTTATATTATATTATATATTATATATTAAATATTATATATATAATATTATATTATATATATTATATATTATATATTATATATTATATATTATATATTATATATAATATATTATATATTATATATAATATATTATATATTATATATAATATATTATATATTATATATTATCTATTATATATTATATATTATATTATTTATATTATATTGATATATATATATAGTATTATAACTATGACTATAACCATGAAAACATGTGATTTTGTATGATTTTGTGGGATGTAAGCACCACACATTGTGAAGAATGGTGGTTTGACCATCAAGTATGTGGATTTAATCCATGAATCATGGGGATATCAATGGGGATGTCTCACCAAAAAAAATGGGATGCCAAGCAATGGCTGCTGATTCAAACACCTATCATATATCAATAATTACAATTAGTATCAATTAGTCAATGGATGATCTTCATCCCATTTGGGGCGGGAATGAAAGAATGAAACTACCCAACAATCTGATGATATTTTCATTCATCACAAAAAGATAGAACTTGGAACCTGTGGATTTTCCGTATTGTTTTGTTTCCGAGAGAGCTTGCCTCTAAAATCCGTTCAAGTATGCCGGAAATTCGAGGTGAGAAATTGCGATGCCTTGTCCTGCCATTCTTTGGAAATGTTCTTCTACGAGTACAATGGCTGGCAAACCTCTACAAGCTCTTGATTCCTTCAGATGTCACCGTCACCCTCCAGTAGTCAAACATCATTGCAAGTTTAAAGTTTGCAGATCACTTGACTTATGGTGAGATGACACATTGGAATTTTCCATTGCTAGTTTACCCCATTGGGCGGGATTTGTGGGATGTGCGCTTGTGTTGGTTTATTACGTGCAAACATAAATATATTAGGTGCTATGCAAATTATACTAATTCACCAACAAATAAGATTGAATGTTGACTATAGTTTACACCCAGAACGCAACATATGATAACATGTGTCGCAAAATCACCCTACCAAGCTTACCCTCAAACAATGATAGACAACCGTTGGCCCGGTGGTCCAACCACCGGCTGCATCGATGGCAAAATGCCCGGATCTGTGAGCCCCGTACCGTCTTCCACGACCTGGCTGACACACACATATATATATAACATACATCAACAAACAAACAACCGTGGGTACAATTGGGGACCATCAATATATATCAATATCATCATTCCATATCAATATTCCAATTATTAATCCATAGGATAGACAAATCAACGTGGCACAGCACCTGCGAGGTCTTCGCTTCCAGCTGCTCAAACGAGGCCACGGTGGGTACGGCATCCTGGCACCAAGGGCTGGATCAAGGTTCTGCATCGGTTGGATCAATTTGATATCGACACTACGATCAATACGGATCATGATAATGCATATGGATGTGGGTCAAAATGGAAGACCTAGGGGACCACAGATGTTAGTCTAGTTTAGTATTAACCATCCAATTATTGGGGTACCTAATTTTGACCCATACCCATATAATATTAAAGACCATACCTTGAATTCATGATCTTCCCTGGTGTTAGTCCCACAGTTGAGGTTCCAAGCAGTTTCCTGCAGGTCGAATCCGGTTTTGAGATCTGAGACACATCACAGCACAGGTTTTGAACATGGAAGAACACCTTGGATGGTTCAACTATATCAACTATGTTAATTTGATGTATGGTTCAACTACTTTTGGTACCAATGTTCATCAATGTTCTGGGTCCATCCCCCCTGTTTCGAAGCATCTCCACCCTGCTTACGATCCAGGGCGTCCGCCTGCTCTATGGTCTTCCGAATTCCAATGCCGTTCTTTGAGGACAAGTCACCTGGGTGGTGAGGGTCAAATTCAAGATTCAAACAATATCAAAATAGATGAAACAATAACTCGTTGAAGCTCAAAAAATGAAGTTCAAAACCATTAAAAACTCAAACTCAAAACAACTAGTCATGGCTATAGTGATTAAACATCATCAGTTCCCGACATGGACAACACGGATCCACTCAAGGCCCAAGTTTCGTGTCGACAACCATTGGTTCATCATGTAAGCAGCTGGTAGCATTGCCTACAACATGGCCTTGTATTAGGAAGCGTGCATTGAGAGACTCCGTGCGTGAGTTGTGGGGCGCCCTTTTAGTAGGACATGTTCAGTTGTTTGCGGGTTATTCCTTTACTATAATCTATCAGACTCAGACTGTAATATTACGGGCAAGCTCCTCGATTGGCTCGCGCCGTCCTTCGGCTTGTCTTCGAGGGTCACAAAAAACACTGTTCTATTGGACGAAATGCATACGGTGATTATGTGCCTGGAGCCATGATAGGAAATGTGTTGAACAATATCACAATATCGTCACCAAATCAAAGGTTTCAACCCTGAAAATTTAACCCTAACACACCCTAAGACCCATCATGATTAAACTGTTTATATATATCTGTTTGTAATGCTCAAAATTGCCGAACGAATCGGTGCAGAGACGGTCCATCCTGAGGCCACGGCGAATCGAAAGCACCGTAGGAAGCCTCGATGTTTCAATGATTGAATGCGACTGGGTTCCATGTTTAACCCCAAATCTAGGATGAAACCATCTTCAGTTCCATTTTTTCCCACCTGCCAGGTGAGGGTCTCTAGATTTATCAGAGTTACTTACAGCTACTTCCTCCTCCTGCGAGCTCCTCACTGAGATCTGGCGCTCGCGGTTGAGGTCCGGCAGTGCCCATAGCAGAGAGAATCTCAGAATAGATGCCAGATAGAATGCAACGGAATGTCAGATAGAATGCCAGAATAGATGCCAGAAAGAATGTCAGAATAGATGCCAGATAGATTATCAGAAAGAATGCCACAATGCAAACAGAATGTCAGAGAAAATGTCAGAATAGATGCCAAATAGGATGCCAAATAGAATGCTAGAATAGAATATCATAAAATATATGCCATATATAATACTTCCAGATGAGATGTCAGAAACTATGACAAAATCATGTCACGGGGGATCACTCGAAGTAAAGTAAATATTTTACATTTTCCCCGAAGCCCAAAGATATCAGAGTTTCCCAAACGTGGATCCGGGTGAATGCAGTGTTTGAATCACAGGTTATATAAGGGGATTCTAGTTCTAGAAAACCAAGGTGATATGATATAGTATTGTAATTTATTGTATGGGCGTATGGCCCACAAAAATGGGGTTCGCCTTAGACTTAGATCATCTTTGACCTCATATACCAGAAATGCAGATACGCCCCAACAAAATGGAATACCGATTTTTTTTTGTGCGGAAAGTGGTGATCAGTCATGAGATTTTGCGGTACTCAATTTTCCCCATATTTCAACAAACAAATGGAAGTGTCTTGGAATGCGGGCGGGATTCAAGGCAACCCCCAATGGAATATGGATAATTATGGCCAAATATAAGTCACCGGTCACAGTCAACGGTTCTTTGTTTCTATCTGTACTCAGATGACCTGGATATTTCACCAAGCAAAAATGGCAAGACGAACATCCAAGGCAGGCTGATCTGGTTGGTCCCGCAGGCAGGTTAGCAACCAGTGACTCAAGCATACTTGTTCGTCAATCTTAGATTCCTGCAGAAAGGGGAAACATACATGCGCTGGTCAATATGTATATATACACGTAGATGTGTATGTATATATATATATATAAATATAGATGTAGTATATGTTATATACCCCCATGCAAATCCCTTTAACTATGGCACAAGATTTTCCAGTCTTAAACTCGACAGCTGGCCCCCTGGGATCCCCTGGGCACTCAGGCTTGGAGTCTGACCCCGCAGGCACCTGATCTACGAAGCGCTGAACAAAACAATCAAGACTGGGCGACTGGGTAATATGGGGTATCTCTGGTAATTTCACATATGACGGTTTGCCAAAATGTCTTTTCCTGGTTTGGTTGATAAATCGTAATTCCTTGCGTGCCGCTTCATATTGTGCCTTTAAAACCATGACTGACCTAAATAGTCTGAAACCCAGCATTTTATCTTTCATGTTTGAAGCCGTAGCTAAAACCTGCAGTAAATGCTAGCGCGCGCCTATATGAAGTGGGTGCCGCTGCTAGTTATTAGTGGTGGAACTGGAATATCTGCAGAGCTGGTCGTTGCCTTGGCTGTCACTGTTGCTTTTGTCAAACAGACAGGATAAACTATAAGTTCTCTGGTGGCGACTGGGTCACGGGTCAACCAAAACCGCTTTTTGAAATTTTTGCTAGTGCATTGCTAGCGGGGATCTAGCTTGTAAAATTACGTACAAATTTGCAAAGTTGAGCCACAACCTCAAAAATATAGGAAAATTGTTGAGTAGCACAGAAATTCACTAAGACATCCTTAGGATTAAGGAGCTAAGTCCAAGTTTTATAATCCCTTCCCCCTATTACTAAAACCCCCCAAAATTTCAGGTTGGCCAGGTGGCCGACTTTGAATTGATCCCCTTTAGAAAACAATTTAAAAATAAAACTACCATTTGTGGATTTCGCCCCCTAATAAAAACTAGTTCACCCCGGGGTGTTTATTATTAGGCTCCGTGAAAATGTTAGTTTTTTATATTAGGATTTTTAATTTAATATTAGGGGGAAGCCTCGAAATCCAATGTTTGGCAATATTTTAATTGCGTTATAAAAGGAAATTTAATTGATTTTGAAATCGGAAAAAATAGTTGTTTTATTAAGGTTTTAAATTTATTAATAGGGTCCGCTTCGAAATCCAATTTTTGGCAATATTTTAATTGCGTTATAAAAATAAATTTAATTGATTTTGAAATCGGAAAAATAGTTGTTTTACTAAGGTTTTAAATTTATTAATAAGGTCCGTTTCGAAATCCAATTTTTGGCAATATTTTAATTGCGTTATAAAAGGAAATTTAATTGATGTTGAAATCGGAAAAAAAAAAAAATATTAAGGTTTTAATTTTATTAATAAAGTCCGCTTCAAAATCAATTTTTTGGCAATATTTTAATTGCGTTATAAAAGGAAGTTTAATTGATGTTGAAATCGGAAAAAAAAATATTTTTTATTAAGGTTTTAAATTTATTAATAAGGTCCGCTTCAAAATCAATCAAATTTTTGGCAATATTTTAATTGCGTTATAAAAGGAAATTAATTGGTTTTGAAATCGAAAAAAATACTATTGTTTTATTAAGGTTTTAAATTTATTAATAAGGTCCGCTTCAAAATCAAATTTTTGGCAATATTTTAATTGCGTTATAAAAGGAAATTAATTGGTTTTGAAATCGAAAAAAATAGTATTGTTTTATTAAGGTTTTAAATTTATTAATAAGGTCCACTTCAAAATCAAATTTTTGGCAATATTTTAATTGCGTTATAAAAGGAAATTAATTGGTTTTGAAATCGAAAAAAATAGTATTGTTTTATTAAGGGTTTTAATTTAGTATTAGGGTTCCATAATAATAAATACCACCCTAATAATAAAAACTACCGGAGGTGTTTATTATTTGGGGGGGCGGGGGCGTTCTGTATTAGGAAGGGATTATACATTTTGACTGTTCTTCATGTTGAAATAACAAGCAAACAGGAACTCGAAAACATATCCGTGAACATAGATGTGAGAAACAAAAAAAAACTAGCGCAAACCTAGCGGGTTTGCTAGCGCTGCCTTGCAGAATTGGTAAATGTAGCTGCGTGCCGCCTCATAACGAAGAGGAAAAACCACTAGGTCCGCACTAATTATCAACAACTAGTACAAAACTTCTGTCAACTATTTTTGGCAAATGGTCATATGGAAAATGGCTTGTTTTTGGGTGACTCACATGTACTTAAAACAAGATGAAGCCCACGAACCCGAATGCTCACACGTATGTTAATGGTACAGATGTCAAAACACATGGTTATGCAGTCACGCACAATACCTTTCTGCAATATTTTTTTGAACAGTCTTGTACATGTTTCCCTTGTTACCAGTCTGCAGTGTGGAGTGGAAAGTGTAGAGTGTGGAGTGCGGAGTGTGAAGTAAGGAGTGTGGAGTGTAAAGTGTGGAGTGGGAAGCGTAGAGTGTGTAAAGTGTAGAAGGCGGAGTGTAAAGTGTAGAGTGTGGAGTATGGAGTGTAAAGTGTAGAGTGTGGAGTGTAGAGTGTGGAGTGTGGAGTGTAGAGTGTGGAGTGAGGAGTGTAAAGTGCAAAGTGTGGAGTGTGGAGTGTGGAGTGTAAAGTGAGGAGTGTAAAGTGTGGAGAGAGAGTGTGGAGTGTAAAGTGAGGAGTGTAAAGTGTGGAGTGAGGAGCGTGGAGTTTGTAATTGTAGAGTGCGAAGTGTAGAGTGTAAAGTGTAGAGTGTGGAGTGTAGAGTGTAGCGTGTGGAGTGTGGAGTGGAAAGTGTAGAGTGTGGTGTGTAGAGTGTGGGGTGTGGAGTGTAAAGTGTGGAGTGTAGAGTGTGGAGTGTGGAGTGTAAAGTGTAGAGTGTGGAGTGTGGAGTGTAAAATGTGGAGTGAGGAGTGTAAAGTGGAAAGCGTGGAGTGTAAAGTGTGGAGTGTAGAGTGCATAGTGTAGAGTGAGTGTAAGTGTGGAGTGTAGAGTGTGGAGTGTGGAGTGTAAAGTGTGGTGTAAAGTGTGGAGTGAGGAGTGTCAAGTGTGGAGTGTGGAGTGTTGAGTGGAAAGTGTGGAGTGTGAAGTGTGGAGTGTAAAGTGAGGAGTGCGGAGTGAGGAGTGTAAAGTGGAGTGGAGTGAGGAGTGTAAAGTGTGCAGTGTGTGGAGTGTAAAGTGTGGAGTGAGGAGTGTAAAGTGTGGGGTGTGGAGTGTGGAGCGTAAAGTGTAGAGTGTGGAGTCTGGAGTGGAAAGTGTAGAGTGTGGTGTGTAGAGTGTGGAGTGTGGTGTGTAAAGTGAGGAGTGTAAAGTGGGGAGTGTGGAGTGTAGAGTGTGGAGTGAGGAGTGTAAAGTGTAAAGTGTGGAGTGTGGAGTGTAAAGTGTAGTGTGGAGTGCGAAATGTGGAGTGGAAAGTGTAGAGTGTGGTGTGTAGAGTGTGGGGTCTGGAGTGTAGAGTGTAAAGCGCAGTGTAGAGTGTAAAGTGTAGAGTGTAAAGTGTAAAGTGTGGAGTGTAAAGTGTA